GACTGAAACATGAGGCGGCCTGGTGCAGCACATTCAGTTGCCTGAGAACATCAGAAACGAGAGATTCAGCTGGGTTCCAGGTGAGTGTCTCGAAAAAAACTAAATTAATTTGCAAACATGTGAACAACTATTTGACAGATATTTAGGTTAAGTTTATTGTAGAAATTCTGCGGTTGATTTTATTATTGGACGTTCGTATGCCTCAATGCGGAAACTACCATCTTGAGTCGGCATTGAGCCACTGTATTTTGATACCCATTCCATGCATGAGAAACTTCTGATATTCCGATGAGTCATCCTCGCATACAGTGCTGGTGCACAGTGATTTAAGACGTTGATCTGACGAGTGATGGAATGATTCATATGTCATTCTTTGGGTAGACACTTGTTTTGCGAGTATCCGCTAGGCTACTAGAGTGTAGCGTTGGTCCTGTCAGCTTGGAGAGTTCTCCGGTCAAACCTTTCGATTCCGCTGCTCGTCTGTTATGCGGATGGATTATGACCCTCTATGGGTTTGCGGATCCAGGAACGCTTATGGTTTGTCACAAATTTCCACGCCAGAAATCGTGTATGTACTCTTCAAACTTCCCGAGCCCGGTTTTTGGTACATGTATCTAAGAAGAAGTACCTTACACCGGTCAACGTGGTGAGCTCAGGCGACATTAGCTAGCGTATATTATTCCTACGAGTAATAATTTCAAAAGGCTACTTTTGGTCAACAAGCACCGACACTGTTTCTGACGACCGACGAAGCCAAGATGAACTACCGCCTTTGAATGTTTGAAAGAGGACCTGTATCTAGGTAAGGACGTGAGTGAACCTGTCTCGAGGTAAAGTATTTGTTGATGGATCCTCGGCTAGGGCGAAGCTCAGCTTGATTCTCACGGATCTGTCTTTCTCTGTAATCACCCAACCTGCGCAAAATAATGACAGGGAGCATCTTAGATGCGACGGATACCAAGCTGATGCCATGATGATTTTCGCGTGACGTTCTTGTGCCCTTTTTGAAGACTGTGATAACGGTTTGGAAGCTTCCATTCCAAATCTCCCGAAGTATGATCGTCAGACTGCTCACTAGGACCTCGGTACCTTCTTTGAAGAGCACGGGATGTAGTGATCCGGACTAGATGCTTTGTCGCGTTCATCAGTGGTTTGAGGGATCTGTGCGTGCCATCATGTTTCCTTGTTGCTGATATGACCTTTCTGGCAGTAGTTTTACCTGCTGATCTGGACGACATTTGATCGAGTCAGATGAATTGGACAGGGAGTTTTGAAAGCCGAAAGTTTAACTTATTTAGCTCACTTCCATTCAGCCTCTAACCAACCTTATCTATCAGCATTGCTGCGCGATTCCAGTGGTTTTCTGGTCAGATCACCTCGATATCATTGAACTACTCAGGCTCGCGAAAGTTGATGAAAGGTGTTGCTTAGCTTCGGCAAGCTTAACGACGATGGAAAGCAAAGTGATACCAGAGCCCGCACAATGGAATAGTCACAGTCAAGTTGCGTATTCCAGAAGGAACGACAATATTTAATTGAAGCTCTTTCGGCAACCGATAGCCACATGATCCAAATCAGTCAATGGCTGGCTTTAATTAATTCGATGGCTGTTTTTGTGCTGGAAATTCCTACTGGCCAGGAACAGAGTGATCAGAAGAGAACTAAAGATGTCGCTTCCCGAAATCTACCTCTCATCTAAGTTCCGTCCGAGCTTAATTGTGAAAATTGGGCATTCGTATCAGCCACTAGGCTTACTATATCGGTCCGGCTTACTGAATGAAGCAGTCACGACACATCTCGATAAAGTCCGTGGTCAACTTCAGGACTGCAGTCTACCACATGGTATGCTGATACAATAAATAACCATCGTTTATCGCACCTAGTTGCATTGATCTGAGTTGAACCAGACAACCCTGCAGTGCAGGCATAACAGATTATTTGGATGCAGCTCACTAAAGTTCTTTCAGACTTGTGGCTGAGTGCAACTTTCACACCTTAGATACCACGATACCGGTGTATACTACTAATAAAGCGTGCTAGTAGGCTATGGTCTCATGTCCCAGTTCTACCTTCGCAATTGATGGAGGGTGAAGGTTAGAACGAAAATTATGGAACTACTTCCTAGTGCTCGTTTACTATTGTTTGCTATTCAATGAATGTCCAGAAAAGTTCGAGCAGACGGTTGATAATGTTCACTTTTGAAAAGCTGTGAAGATGAGGTGTTTACTTTCGTGTCTGGTGGCTTGTAACCGCTTAGTTTTTGTTTGCTAATTAACAAATTCGCAGCAAAGGGTATTCCTCTTTCACAGCTTGTATAGCTCTTGGGACTATTAAGCACTAGAGTCTGACCACCGTGACAATCTAACAGTTCTAGATCGGGACAGATACCGATAAAACCATCGTTTTCAGGTTGGAAGCGACAGTCTGTCGGGGCCTAGGCATTTTCCCATTAATCTTAGCTGAAACAGACACCCATGGAATGTAGAGAGTAAAATTTAGTATGGTCCAGACAAGTGACGCACTTCCGGGTTTTTTTTCCGGGACGAATGCATCTGCCGCGTCGTAGAAATAATTGCACCAGGATCGTCAGCTACTTCAAGATTAAAAGGAGAAACATCTGAGCTCATGCTGAGAGGTTTGGGGTGCAAGAACCTGGCGTCTTCTTGTACGCAT